TAATTGTGAGGATTGCAGGACTCGATGGTCCCTATACCATCTCTTATACCCCTCAAGCCTTTCTCTCTCCAACCCCATGATCCTACGCAGTATTAATTTTCCCCTCCTTCTCTCAAATTTTCCCTATCCAAAATAACATCCGCATTCCGAGATCCTCCACACACACACACTCACACATCCATAAATGCGTACATATAACTCAGAATAGAGAACCAAAAATTATATTGTTTTTTAATTTACTAGACAAAATTGTATTTATTTTTTTATTCAAAAAAATGTATCACTCAAGTTTGCTTCTTTTAATTATATCATTATTAAATTAACTTCTCGATAGTCATTATTTAAACAATACCTCTCCTCGTATTATTAAGCTCTCCCGCGATTGCACTTCGCTCTCTCCCCGGTCACTTGGATTAAGTTCCATGACCGAAAGTCAGGGCATACGACCATACTGGCGCAGCTGGCGTTAAGGTGCGCCCCTCTCGGCACACTGACCCACTTTGGGCCTTTTTTGAAGTACGTCCGACTCGTGTGTCCGTTTAGCGGAGCACGAGCAGAGGTTTCCACTTCGTCCTCCGTTCGACCCCCGGCTCATTAGGAGCCTCAAGACAAAGTGAAGTGCCTCCCGATTTGCGTCGGTCTTTCCCCACGGCTCCCTTACGGTCCGAAGCTTGGACCCGACCAAATCGGTCTAACAATTCGGTTCCTTGTTACATTTACCCCCTCACCTCCGCATGCGCGCGGAGCTTGGACGTAACATTAGTAAAACTGTTTTAATGTATGTAATTATAATTTTTTGCTGATTAAACCTATATCGTGCTAGTTATTTTACATTTAGAGAGATATGTTAAAATCATTAATTGTGAATCGCTCTTTAAGAAGAAATTCATATTTTTATTCAAAACAATATTGAACATTTCATAAAATATTTAATATTTATGATTATTCATATATATATAGATTACATTATAGATAATTTTATTTTCTTACCGTTTTATATGTTTTAATTTAAATTTAATAAAGTAATGACAATTATCCACAATTAAATCCCACGTACAAATTGCGGATCAATTCTTTATTCTTTTGTTGGCGTTAAATATCCCATAAGAATAATAAAAATGATTTATGCATTTA